GGTCCCGAAAGGATATGTGCAGGCCTCCACAGTGAGGCCTTCGCGCAGAGTAATAGCCCGGTTCCCAGCTTGGTCCCGTCGACAACTATTTCTGCATGTAACCAGCTCAAGAGGTTATGGTCACTGAAATGGAGTTCGACACTTGTACTGGCAGGCAGCCTCGCAACTCGTCATGCTGCTAACCGTTGGTTCGTCTGTCAACGCCCCCGGTAAGCTCCGACTCCGCAGTTACCCTCCATTACTAGACCCGACGACACGGGTATCGCAATGGCCCATATGTTGGTCCCCTTCCTCGTGTTAGCCTCGCGGTCGTGCCCCTGATGTTGGTACGTGGGTAGGTCCCTCTCTCTCTCTCTCTCTCTTTGCATAGGGCGGGATTCAACCACCGGCGGGGCAACGCACGGGTTAACAGGTAAGTCTCCGACCCCGCGGGTGTCCTTTCGTTATCTCCATCGATAGGTCGGGCAAAACCGGAGCGACCCTTCTGCTAAACTGTGGACAGGTACATTTACTCCCCCAGATGGCCCACGCGCAGCTCTTTTGCTTACTAACTCTTACTTTACTAATTTTCTTCTCGTTCTAACCCTCGGATTTGGGTCGCCCGCCCTTGAGACTCCGTCTTAACATCGCCCGATTCTTTGATGAATCAATCGAACTACTGTGTTCTCCTCCTGCCATATCCGGCTTCTTCTACATCCCGCGCGCAACCCGCTTTCCTCCCAACTCCCTAATCACTAACTCTCTGACTAAACCGACTTCGCCACTCGATTCGTCAGACCCCAGAACCACTGAAAATGGACCTTCTCTCGCCCGTCTTCGTAAAGGAACGGGTGAGCTTAGCCGATTTTCGTCTTTCCGTAGCCACTCCCCCCCATATCTGGGCGCAGCCCTTTTCATCACTAACTCCCTGTTTACTAACCTATCACTCGAACTAACCAAGGATTCGTATTCGCCATCATCAAAAACCCCTGTCCCCTTTCTTTCCCCGCTTGATTTAGTCAACAACCTGCCGAAATCAACGTTTTTCGCTTCGCCATAGTCCCACTCCAGTCCCGCTCTTCTTCGTTACCACTTCAGCTGTATTTGGCGCGGATTCACATCCAAGTTCATTCAACTCTTTCTTTGTCGCGCCTATCTTCTCCTCCAACACCACTCCTACATACCTCGATCCCTCCTCATCACTCATCCCGCACTTTCCTCGGTGCGGGATTGTGCCCGTCGCCTATCCTTACCTACTAGCGTCCGCTGCTCTGCGCATGCACCCGGCGCAGAGATCCCTCCAGGTTCACTCTCCCGCTGCTAACTGTTCGTCGTCCTCCGTCGCTGCCCGGCACTGCCCGTACCGCTGCCCGCTACTCTACCTACCCCGCATTCTACTTCACTAACTCTCACTTCAATCTAACCCTGCTAAAGAGGGCGCCCGGCCTTAAATCTTCGAAGTCGATCCTGGGCTCGCCCGACCTCATTAAGGATCGAGCTACCTGGAGGTTTCCCCTTCCCGACTTGCCATACTCGCCGCTCTGCCACCACCGTTTGTGCAGGGATTTTGGCGCGAATTGGGTCCGGGTGCGTCCTCCCCCTCTCTTGCGCCCGTAGCTTCGTAGCCTTAGGCGTCCCACTGTAGGTAGTGCTCGCGTCCCATACCAAATCTACCCGCTGCTGCGCTGGTCGGTCGAAAAGGTGGCCCCGAAAACTCCTTTACGGCGGTGCTTGCGGCTTCCTGATGCCGGGTTAGCCCTAGTCAACCCGCAAGGCCCTTTTTGGCCTGTACTTGCCCGGCCTCACCCCCTGAGTTCGGGTGCGGTCTGCATGTCGACAGTTCATGGACATACCCGTTGAGCTAGGCTCCTAGGCCCCGCTCCACCCGCAGCACTGCAGTGCAGCCACGTAAGCCGTTTTAACATCCGCCCTCCCGTTTTCCAACGTACCTGGTGCCAACCAGGTCTTTCCCCCTTTACGTCCGGGTCCCTTCCCAGACTTTCAGGTGTCAATCACCGTGCAATGGCCAAGCTGGCCGCGCCAGCCTTCTCTGTATTGTTCCAGGCATCGTCTGGGCCACACCCGTAGCAACTCGCCACAACGTCTCTACCCACCAGATCCGACCATGGGTCTGTATTCCAACAGCTCATGGATGTACCCACTCACAGCGTCGCGCCCAAGTACAGACGTGGCGAAATAAATAAAATGTATATATATATATATATATATATATATATTAAAAAAAAAAGAAAAAAAAAGTAAAGAAAAATAACATATCAAGGCCCCGTCGGGACTACCGGCCCGACGCTCATCCTGTGGGCCAGGCCGGCCACCGTGTCCTTCACCAAAACTGAGGGGGATAGCCCCCACCGGGCCCTCGACCCCTCAGTTTCGCCTCGCGCCGCTCCACTGCCGCTGCCTCGACGTCCGCTGACCTCGATCCCAAAACCTCTGTCGTGTCAACCCAGTATCATAACCTATAGGGCTAAGCCCAAGCCTGAGACCAGCAGGCTCAGTCTTCTAAATAAAGAGATAAGACATGGCACACGGGGCCAAGGAAACGCCCCGGACCACTTCTCCGCCCGCACTCACACACACGGCCACCAAAAGCCCGCGCCGGCCTACCGACCGTGCCGCGGCTACCCATGCTTAGCCGAATCCATCAGGTCCCGTCATCTGGATCCCGCGTAAGTCCGCACAGGCTCACTGAACCGCCCATCGTACCACGCGGAACCAGAGAAAAGAGCGCCCATAGGTTTAGTCAATTTAATCAAAACAAACAACTGTTATGATGAAGCACATCGACCGGAATCCACGGCACGTCTCCCATCGTGATCAAAGAGGGAAAAATCACGCGTGCCTCAAACCTGCGCTCCCACACACTCTCTAATCCTAGATATTACCGCCGAATCTTTAGTCCGCGAACCCCTACGACTCGCGGGGTCTCCCCATTATGACTCGACTCATTTCTCTGTCAACTATAAAAACCCAGTGCGAGTACCCTTGTAAGGGTATCCGCACCGACAGCTTACCGGACCATAATAAGCGACGTCCCCGTCGCTTACCGGACCATATTAAGCGACTCCCTCGTCGCGTCGCAAAATCGAAAGACTATCAGATTACCCAAAATGCTGACGAAAATAGGGACCAATCCGATTAGTCGACAGACCCGAGGTGGAGGCTTCCATCAAATCATGCCTTTGCAACCATATGCTGTCAGGTTCCAATCTGGGTCCCCATCGCCGCTGTCAATAAGATGCTGACAACATAGGTTCCAAGGACCTTCTTCTCCATTATCCTATCACCCCGGTCCTAGACAACCTTCGACTTCTCGTTGGGTGTCCATAGCCCTAGCCAAAACTAGGGACGTGGACCCTAACCGAGACCTTTGAAGGCACGCTCGCCTTCCTTTCCAAGAAGTTCCTCACAATCAAATACACATATGCATATATATATATATATATATACATACATAATCTCCACTCGGCTCTTTCTGCACTCTAGTACAGGAAGGTCAGGTCTCCATCTTGGCCCACCATAGCCTGGCTGATCATACGAGGACTACGACCCACTGCGTTGTTATTTTAGCGGCAGTACCCTCGCTGGTTACGTAACGATAGGTTTTCACCTGATGAGCATTCAATCAGAACTTCCCAAAAAACTCGACTTCTACCCCATGGAGTAATTTTTCTGGGGCGGGCAACCCCCCGTAAACTCTTACTCCGTGGTCCCGCAACCAGGTTGCGCCGGCTAGCAGCCATCCACTGGGGTTACGCCTTAGTGGCGATAAACTTTCACCGTTAGCTTGGTCTTCCTTCAATACGTCCCAGAACTAGCACAAGTGGTTAAACGAGACGTCTCAAAACAAAAATCACGGGCCTACTGCGAGATTACGTAGGGGCCTGAAGGCATTTACCAGCTCTCCCTCAAAAGGCATGGCATCCTTCGCACAGTCACAAACATAATCACCGCTAGGTCCACAAGGCCATGACCTTTGACTTGATTAGAGCTAGCGGCCACCCATCCTGAGACATCTCTCGCCCTGTACCCATTGCAACCTTTTCAAACACTTCAAGCAAACGTGACCCTTTTCGTCAGACTTTATCACTCATCAGACAACTTACCATGCCATTAATCAGTTCACCCACCTTTGGGGGTGAGTCTTTCAACAACTCAAAAACCACCCCCTCACATCCATTAACATGAGATGCATCCTTAACATCCCTCACACAAAACCATCATCCATCAGAGTAAGAACCACACATGTGATTGTGAGAGTGATCGTCATATACACAAAATAGTTTCAGGAAAAAAAATCTTGATTAAATATACACTCAGGGATAAAAATGCCCCGCACACAAATGTTTCCAAACCATAGCTCACTCGTCTCAAGCAAATCCAAACTCACACTAGTATTACCCTCAAAGTACGCGCTGGGTTTGTCTCTCAAAGGTCAGGGTGTAAGCCACCTAGATATGTACACGCCCCATTTATCACGTCCTGGCCCCCAAGATGACAAACTCAATAGAAATCCAAATCCAAACCATCAATCAGATACAAGTGAACATCTAAGCCTAAGGGATGTCATCTAATCCTAAGCTCAGGTCCTATGTACAATATGCCAACCATATAGGTAAATCAGTCCTACTCACTCATGTCCTCCTGGTTTTGCCTATATAGCTGAGCCCTACCCCCATCTACCGATCTCTCCACTCTCCTGCCCTGTCTATCATACATCCTGCGACCCTCCTCTGTAACTTTCCCTTTAGCCTTGTCCTTCAAAAATTTAGGACACTGCAAGGCTCGATGACCCTCCTTTGTGCGGAAGAAGCAGGATGTATCAAACCACTTCCTGGATTTCTTCTTCCCCCTTTGAGATCCTGGCGATGATGACACTTCGCTGGCCTCCCTGCTCAGCTCACGACTCTGAGGCACATCCAAAGACTCCCTCCTGTCTCCAACCCCTGGGTACTCGGCCCTGGTCAAACCCCAATCCCCTCTGGCCCATACTCGGGCGTGTCCAATCTCTGGGGTCTGCCCTCAATGACACCCCCTGTTTCAATCCCCATCTCTCTCTCAAGAGGCTCCTCTATCCTCTATTCAGGCGAAAACAAACTGAGTTTCGCCTCCTCCTGCATAGTATGCACTGCCTCAAGGAGCACGTCCATGAATCCCTCTGCTGAGCCTTGAGCTGTCTCACTGCTAGACCATGGTAGCCCCTCCTCAACTGCCAATGGCATGACTGGGCCCGCTGCTACTATAGTCGCGAGCTCAGTAGGGGCTCTGAATTCGAAGGCTTCTCTCTCTGCCTCCCTCTTGGCCTTCGCCTCCTCAGGTTTCAAGATAACTCTCCCCATGGATGACTCCTGGCAAGACTCTGTTGCAGATGGCTGCCCCGACAACCCCTGTCCTAGCTGTCTCTGCTCTCCCTGTCGGCTGCTCTCGTCCTTGTCCGCTCTCCCTTGAAGTTGTTGCCTCAAGTCCTCAATAATGGCAGCCTGACTAGCCACCAGAGCCCTGAGCTCCTGGATCTCTACCTCCATCGTCTCCAAGCGTAGCCCATGGCCCTCTGCCTTCGTCGTCTTCCCTGCCAGATCGCTCTCCAACAACAAGTACCGGTCAAAAGTTGTCTTGGTTAGGAACCTGATCTTGCGATCCAGCCTCTCCTCCGCTTTCCTTGCTACCCTGAATCCGGCTCTTGTTGGCGAAGGAATCTCTTCTCCCCTTTGCTCCCAGAAGTCTCTCCACATCTCTGGGATTTCAGGGGCCTTAGGTGACGCGTTGGGTGGCTAATCCGGAAGTGCCTCTGCTGCCTCCAACCTCTGCCTTTCCTGCTGCTGCTCCGGAAGTGCCCCCGCTGCCTCCAACCTCTGCCTTTCCTGCCATATCTCTTTTATTCTCGTGCTTCTTCTCGCCCTCTTTTCTTCAGCTGTTTCCCCCGCTGACGCCCTGTCTCTCGTACGGTGGTCGACCCTCTTCGGGATCTCTGCCTCCACCTCTTTCTCAGGCTGGCGCGGCTCCTGACGCGGCTCTGCAGGTGCTGGCTCCTCCAAGTCTGGATGCTACAGGGCATGTGCTGCTAAGTATTTGTCAATCAAGGCCAGGGCCTCTCCCCTTACACTTGCAGTCTCTCCCTCCTTTTCTGCCCTTCTTCCGGGTGAGGAAGCCATCTCTGATGAAGGTAATGGGCCCTCCTCTCCCTGCGACTCCTTTGCTCTCTCGTGTGCACTCCCTGGTGGACCTCCGAGTCTCAATCCCACAACCGGCGTCCGAGGGGGTGTGTCCTCTCTTACCTCTCTCACCTCTCTCACCTCCTTTCCGGCACGTCTCCCCTCATCACCCAACCTCCTCTCTCCTTGAGTGTTCCGGGCCTCCTCTCGTGGTACCTCCTCTCGTGGTACCTTCTCTTGTGGCACTTCCTCTCGTGGCACCTCCTCTCGTGGTACCTCCTCTGGTGGCACCTCCTCTGCCTGTCATCCACGCTCCTCACCTCGAGGCGACGTTCCCCATTGAGAGATGTCCAAATGCGCCTCCAACTCTCTCAGCGGCCCCTCAGATTCTGGCGCCTCCTCCTGTGTGCGCACTGGCGACCTCCTCAATCCACCCTTGGTAAACGATCGAACTCCACCGGTCTCAGCCCACACTCAGGATACGCCCCTCGCTCCTCACCCTCAGGCTCTGACTCCTCTTCTCTTCTGGCTAGGGCCTTCCGTCCCCCTCGAGATGGCCTCGCCTCACTGGGTTCAGGGTCTCTCTGCCTCTTGCTCCTCTGACGTCTCTCGACTCTCGGCTGAGGTGGCTCTGGCCTTCGAAAGGCCTTTCTCAAGTGCGCCCATATCTCTGATTTGCTTGGTTAATGGCCTCACCGCGTTCCTGGTCCAGAGGGGTAACGTCCTCCCCCAGTCATCTCTCGGTATACCCTGCCCCTGCATGAACCACTCGAAGGCGGGGATAAATGCCTCTGCATTCCCGATCTCTAGGCGAATCGGCTTGCCATCAGGTCCCACAGGCGAGGGTCGTAGCTCCTGCATCACCTCTGGCCTCGTCGTCGCCTCCCTACGGATCCGGGCAATGGGCTCCTCGAACCTGTCGGCTCCTCTCAATCTCTCAATCGCCTGGGCCAAGGTCCAGCCCATACGCCCTGCATGCCCCCAGAAGCTGTCCAAGAATAACTCGATGTCCCCATCATCGTACACCGGAGTACTCTCTCGATGGCGAGGTCCATGCCGCTCATATCCTCCTGAAGCTCCCAACGGCCTTCGTGACGGTCGTGTCCCCTTCCCTCCTCTTGGCATGGCTGGCTTCGTAAAGTCGGACCTGCACAACAGGCGAAGGAGACAACAGACACACATTGGGGTAAGCAAACAAGTGATAATCAAAGCAAGCTCAAACTAAACCATACTCATGCAGCATGCAGCCTACCTGACCTACACACCCTTTCGCTTTTACTCTACGGGAAAGCAAATCATCTCTCTCATCTCTTTTCTCGCCACAAACTTCTTCAGTCGCGTTCCAGATACCCAGTCCTTCCATTCAGTCTCATTCAACTCTTCGATCTGGTATGCTCCAAAATCTCCACACCGCACGATCCGGTAGGGACCTAACCACCTCTTGTCGAGCTTCCTGGATCATTGCTTCTCTAATGATGAATCGTACAGGAGCACGACGTCCCCAACTGCCAAAGGTACTTTCCTCACTCGCGCTGACTGATCCCAGCGAGCCTTATCATCCATGCGGCTCCTTTCCACTTGGTCAGACGCCTCCTGACCTCTTTCTTCTATTTCACCCACCTGACGTGCTCGGATATCGAGTAACTCTTCAAAAAACAGGTTGACTTCCAGATCTTGTCGCCTCCAGGTCTTTAGAAAATTCTCGATTGGGAAGGTGGTGTGCGTTCCATACCACAGCGTCGTCGGTGCGTACTTGGTGAATTTTCTCACCGTAATGTTCTTGACAAAGAATGCCGCCCTTAAGTACCTTGGCTATTGATTAGGCCTACCTTCGGTCCACTTAGCCAGGAGGTTCGTAATGGTATTATGTCCTCTCTCCACTGGAGCATTTGTCTGGGGGTGCGCGACCGTGGTGTAGTTGGCTATTACACCATACCTTGATAGCAGCTCTTGCACCTCCTGGCAGGTAAACTCCGATCCCCTGTCCATTACGAACTCCTTAACGAAAGGATAACGCAGGTGATACTCCTCGATGCAGCTAACCAAGACTGGCCCAGCCTTCGTACGAATGGCACGTCCGTCTACGAAGCCAGACAGGTTATCGCGCGCATCGAAGATGTAGTTATAGCCCTGATCCGCAAGTGGCATGAAAAGTAGATCGAGATTCACTACAGCCCCCACCTCACGCTCTAACCTTGGATGTAACGGCTCTCCAGGTCTCAAACAGGATCTCTCCTGGAAGGGCACGCAAGATCGACAGAACTTCCCAATCAAGTCCATCATTCCATCCGAGTAGTACAACTCACTTATTTTGGCGTATGTGGCATGTATCCCTCGATGCCCTCCTGCAATGTCATCTTGAAGTGCGGCTATGACGTCAATCTGACGATTCCTACCGCAGATGACTCTCCTGGGATTCCCCACTTCTCTCCTTCTGAAAAGATGGTCATCTCGCACCAAGTAACTCTGCATCATCCTCTGAGCCCTATCGCTCACATCTCTAAGCCACATTTCGCATGACAGAAGGAGTCCCAACTCCAGGTAGATCCCTTCATACTCCTCCGCACGAAAGACCTCTTTGATCTCACCGTCTTCAAACTCGTCGTCCTGGCTCTCGGGCACCTCGTCCTCATTTCCCGCCGGATTCAACGAGCCTGTTTGATTAAGGTTTTCTTGCAGTAGTGTATTGACGAGGAGATACATTCCCCCCATCAACTCCTCATGCCTTTCTACCCTACCTGGTCCCTCCTCTATTGTCCTCATATTTTCCACTAGGCTATGCGATCCAGCCAATGCCAACTTCATCATCTACTGAACATCTTTACCACCCCAGGGATCCTCTTCCTCAAAAGGCTTAAGGACTAGCTCTGCCTTCCGTTCATACCCGCTCGGCGCTTGCCGGATAGGATGGCCCACACAACTGGGCACTCGCGGCGACCACTTGTTAATGTGGAGGCGGACATCTTCCTCTTGATCAAAAAATCCATCAACTGGGGGCGTATTCTCCACCGCCTCTCCTTCTTGACTATCCCAGTTGATACGACTCAGCCCGTCCGTCCGGTTCTTGTTTCCAGGGATCCGTTCGAACTCGAAGTTAAACACCCAGATGTACGTCAGCCACTTGACAACTGTTGGATCCGATGGAAAGTAATTCCTTAGAGAGTAGGTCAGGGCAGTTGGGTCTACTCTCAATATAAATCTCCTGCCGAAAATGTAGTTTCCGAAGATTCGCAGACAGTGGAGGACGGCAAGGGTTTCCCTCTTGAATTGAGAATAGTTCCTCTCGGTCGTACAGAGAGTCCGACTCTCAAATCTCAAAGGCCTTTCCTTTCCCTCCGTGTCTGCCTGGATTAAAACCCCTCCTAAGGCAGTTGCTCCCGCATCCGTTTCAACAATGAAGGGTCTCGTTTCTGTGGCGTCATAGTCTGGCGCCCCCAACACCAAACCCCCTTCTCAGAACTCTTCCTTATTCTAGTCACCACCTCTTCCAGCTCTTCGCCCCAAACCCGCTCCTGATCCTGACGAACTAACTTTCTCAGGTGCTCAGTCTTAGCGGCAAAGTTCTTGACGAAGGCCCTCCAAAATCCGCATGTCCCAAGGAAGCTCCGGACATCAGTTATCGAGTGGAATGGAACTGGCCACTCAGTAACCTTGTCCGTCTTCTTTACATTTGGTCGTCGGTCCTTCTCACTGCAGACGAACCCCAAGATAGTCGCTTCCCTCATACAATGTCTGGATTTGACCCCACTTGCCGTGAGATTATATTCTCCGAGCAAGTTCGGGACCTTCTCAAGGTCCTGGATATGGTTCCAGACAAAACGTCTCACCCCTAGCAAGACTCCGTCACTCTCCTTTACTGCTGGCCCTTTCACTACCAAATCATCAATATATGGCTGAGTGATATGTGGGCTGACTGACTGCATAACCGGAATCATGGTCCGTTGGACCATTGCTACTGCATTGGTCCATCCTTCCGGAGCCACATTCATGTGGATTAATCCTCAAGGCGTATGCATAACCGTCACCAGCCTGTCTGGTGGATAGACCGGAAACTGGTCATATTCTGAATAGAGGTCTATAAGCGAGATTATAGGTCTTCCAGCACAGGACTCTGACAGCGCGTCCGCATTGGGCAACCCTCCTGCATCTCGCACAGTCACTGCATTTAGCCTTTGTAGATCTTGCACCCACCGCAGCGTCCCGTTAGGCTTGATAAAACAAAACCACGGGGACGCGTACGGCCCATTTGAGTAGTCAGCGACATGCGTACTTATCTTGCCATCGAGGTGGTTCACGACCTTCTTTTCCTCGTCGAGATTAGGATATCGCGCCCCTCTTAAGTTCCACGGTTCGTGTGGCACTGTGTGGATGCGGATCATAGGTATTTTATCCACATCCAACCTGTCGCGCTCCTCGTCGCTAAACGCATAGGCGCGATGCCTCTTCTTCATTAACTCCACCATCAAGGCTTGTTCCTGAGGCAATAGGAAGTCGGGCTATCCTATGATCAACTTCTCCTTGCTCCCTTCGTTGATACGGCATGGCCCCGCTAAGGCTTTTTCCTTCATCCGCCGTATCAGCCCCCGCTCTCGTTCGTAGTACACCTCCTCGTCCTCAGTAACGAGGACGGGGACTGGGCGGCACTTCTGGTCTACCGTCTTGTACCGCCTTTGGGAACCCTGCTTGAGCTGCCCCCTAAAAAAAACCGACTTACAGATTGCGCCTGCACCAACGTCGGGTTCCTCCCGCCATCCGGAAGACGATACACCAACTCCAATCTCCCTGCCTCGCGACACTCCAGGACCTGCTCCCTCAATGCCCGGATGGCATCCGGATCTTCCATCTCATGTGCGGCCACCAAGTCCATGGCCTTCCACACGTCCGACAAGCTGAGAGAGAATGCTTCAATCCTCTCTTCCTCCTCCGGCTCCGCCCGGAGCCTCCGGCGCTCGCCCTCCGACTCCTCGATTGTGAAAGACCCTGGATTGGGTCAGTTCCTTATGCTTTTTGGCCCTGTATTTCTGCAGGTAATTACCTCATAATTTTCGCAGGCAGGATCATACAAGAGAAGGGTCAGAGTCCCATTATGCTTATTAAATATCATTGTCTCTGTTCTGCTCAGAAAAGACCTCCCCAAAAGAATCTCGTGGTCCACGTCCGGCATAATGAAGAAGCATGTCCTGGCCTTTACCTTCCCAACCTCGATGAGCACATTCGAGGTTGTCCCACAGAACACGGCCTTGCAGCTTGCCCCATGTAGAATGTCGCAGTCAGATCGGTCTCTATCCAGCCCAAACCTGATGGCATCCGCCTCCCGGATGATATTCATTTCCGCCCCAGTGTCCACCATAGCTGCACACTTGGAACCCTTCACTACCAAATCCACTGTGGCGCAGGCCACACACTTCTAGTCCATCTTCGTGCCCGACTCTGCCCACTCCGCCTCCTTGGGCAGGATCGTACCTAGATGGACGTTGGGCACCAGACGCCGCGACAACCTCCCCTTCAATCCATCGCGGAGCTCAGGGGCTGACGCCAAGATTTCCTTCAAGGTCATGAGGTCGTTATGCCCTTCTAACAAATGTCGATCACCTTCTCTACGCCAAACCCTTCTTCCAGCCGGACCGCATATTTCTTCTTCTTAGGCGGTACATCGTGCAAGACCGACTCAACTCCTTCCGTAGCCTCTCTTTTCTTAGCCCTTTGCTCTTCCTGGCGCAACCTCTCATCTTCCTCCTCTTCATCGTCATCATCCTCCACTTCTCCTGCCTCTTTCCTTCCTCCCGGCTCAAGCTCTCTCCGGGGGGGTTCTTGGCTAGCAGTGGCCTTGGCCTGACTTCGCGTTCGCGCTGCCTGCGCTAGCCGGGCCTGCGGGGTAAGGGGTCCCATCATCATCCCAGTTCGCGGGCCCGACCCCACTACATTTACTCCGGGTTGCCCGGTCGCTGACTCCGGGCCAGAGTCATAAAGGAACACCTTGGGAACGTTAGACCTCCATTCCCTTTCTCCCTTACAGAGGTCCACCAACTTCTGTTGGTACCTCCCTATCTTGCCCAACAGATCCTCCATTTTCCCCAGCAAGGCGAACGAAGGTTCCATCTTTTCTTCCTCATCCTCGTCGTCCGACTCAATAATTATGGGCTCTTCCCTCTTATCTCCTTCTCGTAGCCCCTGAGTTACTTCCTCATCACTCCCCACTTCCTCTACCCCAATTGGTGGTCCTTCCTTCTCCTGCCATAACCTGAACGTGGCAGGGGGTGGCGGTCCGGTTGCCGCCCTTCGTTGGGCCTCCGCTCTCACTCCCCCAAGCTTCCTGTCAATAAACTCCCCAAACTGGTCGTAGATGTTTCCATCCACGGTGGAGGAAATCAGCCCGTTCTTCTCATCCTCCCGCCTTATGTTACATAACCTTATAGTGTGGCCTTGCTGGTCGCAATGTTGGCAGATAGCCGACCTCCAGTCAAAGCGGGTTCTTCCGTACCCCTGACCTCCTTGATCCCCCTGACCTTGGTTCCCCTGGCCTTAGCTATTCCATTGTCCTCCTCGACCGCCGCCATTCCTGCCTCATCCCCTTCCACCACCCCTTCCTCCATTGCCTTGATTGCCCTGACCCTGGTTCCCACCTCCAGCCACGCTCCCTTGCGAACTAGGAGCGGGTGATGGCGGCGGGGCCATAGGCTGGGCCTGGGCTGCAGAATAGATAGGGGGCGGCATGCTCGTCTGTCGCCCAGCATAAGGTACTACATGTCCAGGAGGCGTCGGCCCTCCACAAGGCACATAAGTGTTGATCGTGGGCCATGGCCACTGCCCGAAAGGTGGTACTCGCCCCTGCGAAGGGCCTGCACTACTCGAAGGTGCCGACGCACTCGGGGAGGCAGCTACCACCGCTTGGGGCATCTGGCCCTTTCCTGAACCTTGCCCCCCTTCCGTCAGATTGCGCTGCTTATGCTGCACCTTCGAGAGGTGCGGAGGCACCGTCTCGTCTTCCTCCCACCCTTCCTAGGCAGCTTCCTCTATCACGGCCTCTTTGGCCCTTCCCTGAATTGTCGTTGCCACCTTTCTTTGTATCACCGGGTCTAACTCTGTTAATATGTCGGTGATAATCTTTCTTACCCCTGGAGTCCCGGATACCGTAGCATCCCTCTCCTTTCTCTTCTGTCTTTGTAGCCGTACCTGGTGCTGCTCCACCTGGTCTAAGCTCCCATCTTCCACCCCTTTGTCAATGGTGGCCGAGGTGAGCTTAGCACTCCCTCCTCCATGACTCGTCAATTCCTGGGCCTCTAACACAGTAAGCAGTCCCAAAACGATGACACACTGCGTCTCTTCTGAGATCCCGCGGACCTTCCTTGCCCTCTTCTTGAATTCTTGTACAAAGGCCCCTATCGTAGTGAAGTTATCTTTGTTCATTGCCTCCAGGTCCGCCGAGGTTAGCAGGTCATCGCCCAGCCTGTACTTCCTTTGCATTCCCTCTCTAAACCTGACCCAATTGCCGTTGGCATCATTGACCACCCTCTGCACCTCCTGATGGTGCCCATAAAGCACATATCTCATGATCCGCTGGAATTTCACCGCATCCACTAGTCCCACCAATGCTTGTTCCACCCGATCCAGCCAGTCTAAGACTCTTTCTCCATTGAAGTGAAAGGTGTCGACCTTAGGGACATTGCTTGGTGTCTTCTCATGTCGGTCAATGGCCGCAATAAGGTCCTCGAGCATCAAGACCTTCCCGGTACCATCCGATACACCGCCGCTCTCCGGCATCTTGACGGACTTTTCTCTTCAAGCTCCCTGTTAGAAGACAAACAAGGACACTCACCTACTCAGCATCCTATCTCAAAAGGGTCTAACCTGTATGCCCTCTCTAACCTCCTCATATACTTACCGGCCGCGGATACGGCCGTCCCTCGTAGCTTTCCTAGCTCAGGTAGGTAAACAGGACGGACACACAAAGCCACTAAGCCTTCCTTACCTGTACTTAGTCACTCATTATTTTCCTTACCCTCTCGTCATTCCTTTATGCCTATTCTCATTCAATCTCATACTCGGATGTCGTTCCACCAGGGACAACGGTAGGCTTCCGTTATCCCCGGCAACGGCGCCACCTGTCGAGCGCATCGGTCCGGCACCGCACCAAGGCAGCGCGGGACCCTCCCAGCCGCGTCACGCAGGAGTTGGTCTAATTCCTTCGTCACAAATCATACATAGAGCTTCCGCAAGCTGCTCCGGCCGAGTGCGCCAGCCATACCTCTCGCGAGCCCCTACGACAAGATAGGGCCTACGCGAGGCACGACTTACCTCCACCTTGCGGGAGTTGTTACCTCCCTTCGGTGGGCGTATCCCCACTGAGCTACCAGTCCACAGTACGAAAGCTGATCAGCTGAGATTGCAGAGATGGACCAGCCGAGGGTGTTCACTGTAGCATAGGGGGTACGCGCAGTAGTACGCCTCTATCGGACCCGCACGCGAACCAACGTCTCAGGGGGGCTGAGGTCCCAAGCGCGGTCCGGCGTCGGTCGACTAGGACGCATCCCACACACCACGCACACACCACTTTACGAACACAAAAATAAAATGCACACACACACACACTAAACAACGTGACTACGCTTCTAGCCCCTCGGTAGTCATCCCATAACTTTCCGACGCGGAAGTCGGATAGGCGTTGCGCTCGAGACTTAGTACAAAACCGCGCGGACGTGGGGCTGACTCATATGGACTCGAAATGCAAGCGTATGCAAGCGGTCACAATGATGACGTACTATGCAGTACCCATACTCATGCGGTCCTCGTTAATCTCGAGGGTCGCGTTCGACACTCAAGTGTCGGCTGACACGCGCTCTGAGGGTTAATCTCTCGACGTTGGACAACCGTCAAGCGCGGTTGAAGACCACACACCC